GCAAGTAAAGAACAGTTCAAAATCAGCGAAGAGGAATCTGATGACACAGCGCAGGAAGAAGAAAAACAGTCAAAACCTAATGCAAAGAAATGTGGTTTAACAGATAACAGCAATAAGCCAAGAAAAAGAAATAGCCTGGTGTTAGCCAAGAAGAGGAAATTGGTAGAAAAGTTAGAAAAGAAGAGGAAAAAGAAGAAAATATAAATGATGCAGTAAATCCCAAATATCTACTAAGAGAACTTTTTTTTCTTTTTTTTGCAGTTTTTGGCGGGGGTCAGGTATGAACCCACCACCTCTGGTATATGGGGCCTGCACCCTACTCCTTTGAGCCACAGGCTCCACCCAGCTAAGAGAAATTTTTTTAGCTGGAATCATTCTTTTCAAATGTACCTTAATATCTTTTTTTTCTTTCTGAGTAAAAACAAGAAATGTTTTCTTTTGGAGAAATATACATCTTATAAAACCATTTTTAAGTGTTCTTTTTTTTCTTAAAAACTGGTAAAATTGCTTTTGACAGATTATTTCATTAATTATATATCAGTGATCTAATGTGTGATATGTAATTTTTACTTTGGGCAAAATAAATGACATTATTATGATTTAAAATAATATTAAAGTCTTGAGCATAATTCAGAATTCTTTGCCAGAGGTGGATAGAGTTGTTATGCAGATTTTTCTCTAAAATGAAGAAGAGACTGCCTTACTCTGACTTCTTCAAATGGTAAGTAGTAATTTGAATGCAAACTTTGTTTATTTTGATAACAAAGTATAAAAAGATTTTTCAAACCACGAATAGTAAAAGACATATATGTGTAAATATGTAAAACATATGTATAAAACATAGGTTTATATATAGGACTGCATACATAAGATTATAGAGATTGCCAAACTTCTTTAAATCGATATGCTTCCAAGCAATGGATGTATAAGATGATGTAGAGGAAAGAAAATGACATTTTTGATTTTTACTTTATTCCTTTCAAGGCAACAAAAAAATTCACTAAGCTAATCTTAAACTAACAAAGATAAGCCTTAAATTTAGCTTGTTTAGCTCTTCTTACCTGGAAAATTATTAAAGTACTTTTTTCTTTTTCTTGTTTTTTTTTTTTTTTTTTCCTTTGAAGTTAGGATTTCTGTTCCTCAAGCTAGAATACAGTGGAATGATCATAGCTGACTCCTGAGGCCAAGTGTTCCCCCTGCATCAGCCTCTTGAGTAGCTGGGGTTACAGGCACGTGTCACCCCACTACACTAATTTTCATAGAGCTGGCCTCTTGCTGTGGTGTTCATGTCGCTGTGGAACTCCTGGCCTCAAACAGTTCTACCTCCGCCTCTCAGAGTACTGGGATTGCAGGTGTGATTCACTCTGCCTGGCTGAGAGTTCTTTACATATTTTAGAGACTTGACCTTTGTCAGACTTGTGGTTTGCACATATTTTTACATAGTTGGTGACATGTCTTTATTCTTCTGACAGGGTCTTTTGCATAGCTAAAGTTTTTAATTTGGATGAAGTTCAGTTTATCCGTTTTTCCTGTCATGGATCTTGCTTTTGGTACTAAGTCTGAGAAATCTTTGTCTAGCCTTAGATCCTGAAGATGTTTTTTGGTGTTTTTTAAGAAAATTTTCATAGAGTTACACTTTTATAATTAGTAATGGGATACATTTGGGGTATATATTGAAGCTCTTGGAGTGTCAGGTTTTTCATCTCTAAAATAGAGGAAAAATGTTTACTATTTGTCTAAAATGAAATAATTACACATGAACCAGTTTATATAAGGTCTTTTACAACACTAATGACTATGAAATATGCACTGCATATTTTTAGTATTTTCACCATGGTAAACATGGTAAAACATGTTTTTATGTAAACATAAAATTGTGAAAGAAAATTAAATTTACCTTTTAGATTCTTGAGGATAAAGAAAGTCAACATACTGATTTGCGAAATCAAAGGGAAATGTCTCAGGAAACATCCTTGGTGGATAGTTGGAGAATAGGGTGGTCTACTATAGTTCACTTTATGGCTGAGGAACTAATTCCAACCTAAACAAAGTAAATAGACTTAATAGAGGTCTGTACCACATTATTAGTCAATAAAATGAAACGCAACTTAAGCTCCTAGACCCATTCTTGAGGTCGTTTCTCATCCAAATACCCCAATTATTTTTGTTTTGTATACTTTCAAATTTGCGAATAACTTAAGCTAGCAATGTGCAAATTTTCATGCTGAAAAATTTCTGAAAACATGATGTAAAAGTATAGGAGTTCACATTTATGAGTATGGATAAAGTGTGTTGCATACTTGTTTGCAATTATTTTTTAAATAACCCAGAAAAAAAATCTAAAAAAATTGTAAAAGTATAGCTTAGGGAATCACTTTCAATAGGTGCATGCCAGGTGGGGTTCAAAGATTGTAATGAACTCCTTTCAAAGGAGTTCAAAGACTCCAACTTTCATTGTCTTCTCATAATGTCTTGGGTTTCTAGTTGTACTTAGATGGGGAGAAAGTGTATCTACTTCATCTCTCTAGAAAATTAAGTACCTGAATATAATTTTGATTGAGTGAAAGAAGATAGGAGGATATAAATCTTTTTTTTGAGGCAGGGGAACAGTTTCAATATGTCACCCTTGGTAGAGTGCTGTGGCGTCACAGCTCACAGCAACCTCAAACTTCTGGGCTTAAGCAATTCTTTTGCCTCAGCCTCCCAAGTAACTGGGACTACAGGTGACCACCATGATGCCCGGCTATTTTTTGTTATAACTGTCATTGTTCAGCAGGCTTGGGCCAGGTTTGAACCCACCATCCCTGGTGTATGTAGCACCCTAACCACTGAGCTATGGGCACTGAGCCCAGCATACAAATAATTCTTATACCATTCTCCATAGAACCAACATGAGATTTAATCACTTTATGATAAAGAAGTTACTTGATAAAGCTTCCAGACAATTAATTCTAGTTTGTAGGAAATGAATATAATGCAGATGACATATTCCCCTTGCTGTTTAAAATTCTTGGTGGGACATTTGACTGTAAAGCTTTAACTGGCTATTTTGGTCTCTTAAATTCATAGTCATTAAGCTCAAAGTAGGACATTAAATACTTAGGTTGTAGATTTCTGCTCTTGAGAAATGTGATGTCCTGAAGTTTTTTCAAAATACACCCCTATTGTCTTTTGCCTAATTTCATTGGACTGGGGTTTCTTGTGAGTGACCCTAGTAACTGTATTTAACTCATTTTATCCAAGGTTTGAATAGAAGGATATAACTGGGAGAAAGATAACTGTTTTAAGCCCCACAAAGAAGTTTTGTTTTTGTTTTTGTTTTTTTTTTTTTTTTGAGACAGAGCCTCAAGCTGTCCCCCTGGGCAAAGTGCCGTGGCATTACAGCTCACAGCAACCTCCAACTCCTGGGCTCAAGCGAGTCTCCTGCCTCTGCCTCCCAAGTAGCTGGGACCACAGGCACCCGCCACAACGCCCGGCTATTTTTTGGTTGCAGCCGTCATTGTTGTTTGGCGGGTCCGGGCTGGGGATTCAAACCCGCCACCTTAGGTGTACATGGCTGGCGCCTTAGCCGGTTGAGCCACAGGTGCCGAGCCTGTTTTTTTAATTTATGAAAGGGAGTTGGAATATGTGTGTTAGTCTTAACTCTGTCACTAGATAGCCTCCATGACCCTGAACCCTTTATCCTTGCTGACCTTAGGACCTGACATTTACTCCTGTGAAACTTTGCCTTCCTGGTTGCCATCGTATCATGTCAACACGCTCCCATTTTCCTATTTGTATTCCTACCTTTATCCACAAATTTGAGTCATTTGACCTGAAAACCAGTGAAACTCAATTGCAGTGCACGAGACATCTCCCTGGAGGTTAAAGGTGGTTTGTGAACCCTTGTTACTAAATACCTATTTCCTTAGGGTGCAAGTAGTTTCATATCCTGCTTAGCCTATGTTGACCTGCCACAATTTATATGGCAAAGTCCATTTAATCTTTGAAACTTTGTTTAATGGGCTATTTTGCCAATTCTTGCCTTTAAAGATTCTAAAGGTTTCAAAGTATGTTCAAAATTTGGAGAAATTATAAGATTAAAGAGTTTTGGGGGAGTTTTTTGTTTGTTTGTTTGTTTGTATCTTTTGGTAAATACCTCCTTTGAGGAGTGTGGAGTTGCTGGTTTAGAAATTCCTACCCTCATGCTTAATCTCTAAGAAAAGACATAGGAGAGAGTGGATGCCTAGAGGTTAAGGCCCAGGAGCTAGATAGCCTGAGCTCAGAACTTGGCTCTTCTGCTTTGCTGTGTACCTCAGTTTCACCATCTATTTGGGACTGATACTCCCTCTGTGCCTCCTAGGGTTGTGGTGGGGATTAAAAGGGTCAATGTTTAAGCCCTCAGAGTAGAGCTTGGCATATCATCAGTGCTCTGTGAATACTGGTATTATTACCATTATCCTTTTGTTTTCCTTTTTACTACCATTATCATAGTAGTAAGAGTATATTTTGTTATTTGGACAAAATGGCAGCTCAGTTGATGCTAATTACCTTGATGTCTGAGAAATGAAAGGGTGGGATATTTCAAGGGAGGGGATAGTATACATAGAGATCAAATTTAGGTAGGTACAGTGGCTCAAGCCTGAAATCCTAGTACTTTGGGAGGTTGATACAGGAGGATGACTAGAGGCTAGGAGTTTAAAACCAGCTTGGGCAACAAAGGTAGCACCACCAGGTGCACACCTGTAGACTACTCAGGAGGCTGAAACAGGAGGATCGCTTAAACCCAGGAGTTCAAGGTTATAGTGAGCTATTTTGCCACTGCATTTCGTTTTGGGAACAGGATAAGTCCCATTCTCTAAAAAGTATAAATCTTTTTTTTTTTTAAAGGAGGTAAAATCTGTAATAGAGTTTGTTGTTATAAGAGGTGAATGTAACTTTGGTAGGGGTTAAATAGAAACTTGTGATTTTTTTAGGTAAATTAATACAACTTGGAATCTGTTGTGTCAGATTTTTTTGTACCAGTTCGATACTTTAAATTCTCTGTGGTTTGATTGTAACTTGGAGCTTTGACCTCTCTGACAGAAGTGAGTTGCACCTTCTGGTTCAAGTTTATTTAGGGTGATTCTTTGGTTCAAGATTACTGGGATCCTTGTGCAGTTGATCTACATTCAAACCACTAGTGGCAAAGAAGGGTGGTGCCAGGCTTTGAATGTGTTCCCCGAAGTTTATTTATTGGAATCAATCCCCAGTGCAATGGTATTGAGAGGTAGGGTCTTCAAGAGGTGATTAGACTAAGGGCCTCCACCTTCATGAATGGATTGATCTCATCATCCCTGGAGTATTATCTCAGGCATCGTATTGTGGGAGTGGGCTGAGTTTGGCTCCCTTCCCCTCTCTTCCTTGCCTGTGCTCTTTCCACTCTGCCTTTTCTCTGGTGTGATGCAGGAAGAAGGCACTCACCAGC